GAGCCCTAGGAGCCAAAAACACCCCCAATCCACAACATTCCTCAAAATCATCCGAGTTTCTTCAAATTTCCTCTACAATCATAATCAAATCATCTGAAGAAACGTTCTTCCTCACTCATTCTCATCTCTTTCCACTTTTTCTCAACTTTCACTTCAAATCCACTTCAATCCGGAAATCACCCACAAAGTGTTCGACAGATTGCTTCAATGGCTTCGCAGGGTCAATCATCACGTGGAAAAGGAAAAAATGTGAAATCCACTTCCTCTGGGCCACGAAAGAAGGTATCCAATGCTGAATTTAATTCTCGTTCCTTTAAGCTTTTTGAAAAGAAATCCATTGTAGAAGGAAGATTTGTGGATTTTAGTGAGTTTAGAGAGTTAGACATTGAGAGATTGTTTGAGACTCTAGGTTGGAAAGCATTTGTGGAGGTTAAGGAAGTAGTCTACCCTAGGTTAGTAAAAGCCTTTTATGCCCATATGGAATACACGACGTGTGACTCCAATGTCCAACTATCATGCACTCTCAAGGGACAACGCATAGAAATTGATAGAGAGGTAATCTCAAACATTTTTGGGATTCTGAATGTGGGAAAATGTGTGCATACTTGTGACTCTTGGGCTTATCATGGGGAAACAATGTCAAGGATTATTATGGAGAAAACCCCAACTCAATGGAGCGATGAAGACGAGATTGAGCCTCTACCCCCAAAGCCAAAAGCCAATGAACTACCCCTTAGGAGTAGAGTCATTCACCACATTATCTCAAACAATATCACTCCTAGAGGAGGGCATAGGGATGAGGTTTCATTCACTGATCTTTATCTGATGTTCTGCCTTCTCCAAAGTGAACGGACAAACCTTCCCTATTTGATCATTCACAAGATGGTGGAGGGCAATAATTTGGCTAGGGATCCGAGTCTTCCATATGGGATGGTGCTAACAAAGGTTTTTCGTTATTTCAACGTGGATCTTGATGACGAAATAGATGTTATTCCACCCAAATCTGATTACAATAAAACCACGATCAAACTCATGGGCTATAAGTTTGAAAATGGAAGGTGGATTCCGAAGAAAAGGGCCAGAGTTGAAAACGAAGGAGACGAAGAAGAGACTGGAGGCAGTTCAACTCGGTTCAATGACGAAGCATTAAATCACCTCCATGGACGGATTGAGTCCCTTTGTACAAGTCATGATGAGCTTCGAACGCAACTAAACACCGGCATCCAAAGTCTCTATTCTTTTGTCGACTCAAGCATCTCCAATCTCTGGAATGATTTTCAAGTCCATCATCAAGAAATCGCCGATACGCAAGCACAAATTCTTGAACAACTTCGTCGTATCAATTTTCAAGGGCCTCCTCCTTCTTAGATAACTAATTAATGTTTCACTATGTCTTTTGATGGATATTTTATTACTTATGACTAATGTAACTTATTTGAATGACTAATGGTTACTGTAACTTATTTGGTGATTACATTGTTATGATTTTTTTTTGTTGATGACAAAAGGGGGAGATGGGGTATCAAGTGTT